CAGGGTAAGAATATTAATAAAACCTGAAAAAAGAAGGTTAATTCGCGGCGTGCGGTATCGTTCGTCTTTAATAGCGGCCGCGCCGGGAGCGGATCGCGCCCAGCCGACATCCGACCCGGCTCAGCCCGTCCGCATGGCGTGCCCTTACATCACGTTTCGTAATGCACGGCAGCGCTGCCCGGCATAAAGGCGCTTTATTAGGACAATGACATCATGAATTACACAGCACGAACCGCCCGCTGCAAAGGCATCCCGCGTCCCCACGCCTTTTCTTGGAAAGAAAAAAAAAAAAAAAAAGAAAAGAAAAGAAAGAAAGAAAAAAAACGAAGTAAGACTTAGAAAAAGGAAAAAAGAAAAAAAAACCATCCCGACAGCACGGGGCTGCGCCTTGCCGTACTGAATCCGGCTAACAAAGAGGGACACTGCACCACGACGCTGCGGCTGATCCAGCGCAGAACAAAGCGAGACAAAGGCATTCCCAGAAAAGAAACTGCATCTATTTCGGGATCGCGACGCCTCCATTTGCTGCCGAGGAAAGAATATCGCGACGCAGTATGTCGGCATGCACCCGCCGCCGCACGCGGGTGGCTCTGCCGGACACGCGGGGCGGATTCGCCGCCACCATCCCAAAACCAGAATCGCGAAACGAAAGGCAGAAGCGGTTCTTACCGGCAGGGCAGCGCCGTGCCCCACTTTCCCGTTCCGCAGTGCCGGCGGGCGCGGCGCAGCGGTGTGCACGGCGCGGAGCGCCGGGAAGAATGGGGGGGAGGGAGAGCAGGGAGGGAACTAAAAAACCCGGGAAGGGGAAAAAAAAAAAACCGCGGAACCGCCCTGCCCGCGTCCCCCCGCCCCCGCCCCGCGCCGTTACCGGGGGGATGCACGATCCTCTCGGCGGCGCCGCGCTGCTCCTCCTCCTCCTCCTCCTCCTCCAGGAAGAAGCCCCCTCCCGTGTCCACGACCTTGGGGGGGCCCCGCGCCCGCACGCCGCCTGCGGAAGACAAACCGCGCGCCGCGCCGCCTCAGCGCCCGCCGCCGCCGCCAGGGGGCGCCCG